ATAATTGGTTGATATGTTTTTTCAATCGTAGAATATAGTAGTATTCTATTGTTTTTGTAAAAACGTGGTAAATAATTTTATTTGGTGGAAACGGATATTGGTGGAAAAGGGAAAGATACACATTTGGTGGAAACGGGCATCGCCCGGCAATCGCACACACGCTCCCCTCCTTGTACCAGTTGTATAGGTATAAATGTACAAGGTATCTTCACCACGATGATCAACATACCTTATTTAAATTATCCATAGTATCAGCCACACATAAATACCCTCGTATCCGTGCCTGTGCACCCTCTATCGTCTGTCAGCTGTTCGTGTCAAATACAATAGCCTGGTACCGACCGACAGAGCAAAGGCTCGGCACTTCATTTTTTCCGTTCCAGCACCATGACTGACGAGCATGGGTCGTTTTTCTGGTGCGCTGAGGGTTTGACACATGAACCATATCATGGTAATGTTGGGGGTATTTTTTTATTAATACTATTATAAGCTATACATATATTATTTCACCGTGGCTGGTATTTTTGGGTATTTTATTTTACAATTATTTCTATATAAGTTCGAAAATATGTTATTAAGATTGTATTAATATTATTATTTGAATTGAATATTATTTATTATATTTTATTCCGTCTGTCGGTAACCGCCGGTTCGGATCCGCACGGTACCATTACCATTGCATTCTCTTACTTATATTATTTCACTCTGATCGAGTTTTATGTCATCCGACTTTTTCGGCACCAAATTAATTATAATATTGAAAGTTAAGCAAATATCTATATCTTTATGTTTATACATTTTTTCCAAAAATCGAGTTGTTTTATTTCATATTAGTGGTTTCTCTCTCATGGTTTAATTTTGATGCAAATTGACTAGAGCCATTTTCCCGGAAATGGCAAATATAGCAAATATCCTAGACTGATAATTGATAAACCGTTTATAACACCTCTTTCAACTATTAATACTTTGAGAAACTGTATCTCGCAAACCAATCAACGAAATCAAATAAGTTAACGCGTAACTTCATACTAAAAATGTTATTATTACTTCATGATATTTGTATTATATGTTACCATTTGAAAATCAAAAGTTGGAAGTGGTTTCACCAATAAATGTCAGGGTGACAAAAAATTTAATATTATATACATTTAGAATCGCTCTGTATAGTGTCTAACCTATATAAGTAAATATCGAACATAATATATAATTTAAATGCATAATAATTGTACAACTTTTCTTCATTTACATATATTATTTAATTAACAACAACTTAATTCAAAATTGCAAATCCCACATGTATTAATCTACAYTATTTATATATATAATAAAAATCAGTTAGTGGAAGACTATGAACAGCTAAATATTTCAAATTTAAATTTTATTTAATATGTTATATTTTAAGATTATTTAACAATATAATTATGATTATTGTTATAAACAATAAGGTAACATGTAAGAAAAAAACTCATCTATTTAAATATATCTTGACTGAGATMATACCATTTTATATTACCTACTTTAATCAAAGGTTATATGAAAAATAATAATAAAAACAATACTTTTAATTTTAAAATATAGTGCACTGGAATATTTCCTAAATGAATAACTTCACCGTTGGTTATGTATAATATTATGTTTTCGCCAACAATAACTAGGGTACTACATTTATTTTTTTACCTTTTATTACAAATCCTTTTAATTTTAAAATTAATTATAACCGTTTGAAATTGTATTATATTGACCTAACACGCTGATATGTTCATACGCCATAGTTCTTAAAAATCTTTATGTGTATGACGATTCTAATTCGTTTTCCCGACCRAGCTTGGTCCATTTCCACTGTTTGGTCTCGTTTTTGTTGATGTTGTTCTCGTACAACCTGGTCATAATCGCTTCCAACATGGCTGAAGATATAATGTCATTTTTCCGGACGTCCAACACGACTAATGAGTCGTTGATCATCAACGTGGACAGCGCCAACTGAGCGCCACGATCTGTAAGCCCRCAATTCTGTAAGTCCACGGCTTTCACATAAAAGTCGTCTTTCAACGACTCGAACAAGTCAGCAACTCCAGCGTCACCAATGCTGGTATTATCGTTGAGCGTCAACCTCCGCAACCCGTGCATGATATCCGGATTGGCAGTCCTATACCTCAGCGAGTGCGCCCAACATTCTTCGTGCCGCTTAACCTGCTGTTTTTTTATCACATCTAGCAGACCGGACTTTGCCGAAGCATGGCTTAGAGAACATCCAGACAGATCCACAGATCGGATGTTTGGTTTGTCCCTGAGCACCCGGCAGAGCAATAGACAGGCACCGTCTCCGATGCGGCTGTAGGCCAGGGACAAGTGCTGGATTGTTTGGTTAGTGTTGATACCGGATATGAGTGTTCCTAGAGCTTGTTCGTCAAACAGTACGTTTTCCAGTTCAAGACAAACCAGTGCAGTTGTGTTGATCATTACYTCGTAAACGGAATTAGCGATCTCCCGAACTACGTATAGTGTGCTCACAGCGACAACGTTTCTGCRGAAAAATGATCACGACTATTATACTACATAATGATGACAACAACAATAATGTACAGAAAGATGCGCAAACTATCATTTTTAGAATTTAGAAATCTACCAGCCGAACGACCAACCCACCATCATTAAACATCTAAAATTCTTAACATTTTTCTATATTTAATGCTTTATAGAAGTTCATCATACAATATCACATATTTTACAATATAATATAATTATAAATTATAAATGTATACACCATATCCAAAAGTGACTCAGCCATTTTGTAAAAAAAATTTCATTGATAGGTATTTGAAGTGCTAAATGGCATTTTTTATGTGAGCTATAGAAAATCATTAAAACGTGAACATCATAGTATTTATGGAAACATTTTTAAAAAAGATCATATAATTTTTTTTAAATAATATATCATGGTCATAATTATTGAAATAAATGTTTTGAGAGCTTGATGTTGTATATAGGTAAGTTTACCTCTAACAAAAAATGATAGCCCAGTTCTAATTATTTTATCTTTGGTAATAAAGCTAACGAATTGAATTATTACATGACATGTAGACATTTTAATCTACCACCACGTTCTCAAAGGCGACTAAGATTTAAAACATTTTAATTTTATTTTTGTATCAATTTTTATGTTTATTATCTTTATAAATTATATTTAAACTAGCTGATAACGTGCAYTTCGTTTCCCGTTAAATGTACTAAATCTATATTACTCAAACTTTGTTCAATTCATTATTTAATAATCGGTGTATGGTGTTCAAAACTTATCTTATCTTTTCCGTTACCGGAATAAAAATTCTAATTCGCAGAAGTGTAATATTATCAGRTAGGTAATCTACCTACAGTAGATCGCGGATCTCGTGCTRTTTGTACGTAAGTTTATGATTTAACTCTAATGTATTCAAGTTATACTAAGTTTGTCATTTTTACTTAATGCTACAAACGATGGATGAATAATAAAATCAATCAATACAAAATTCTTAATTATCCTAGAAGTTTATTTTTTTAAATACAAATAGATAGCTGAATTACCCGGCGTTGTATGGGAAAAAATAGTAATTTATACTGTACAAACTCTCWTTGTCTGATGCATACAAAAATTTAGCTAACACATGCGCATTAAAATAAAAGATACGATGAAAGAAAGCGGTGAATACACAATAATATCTAAATTGAAACAGGTTGACAACTAATAAAACTCATGCCTCGCGTTTTATATTATACTTTAAAAAAATGCGTTTTTTTGAAAAGTAATTTTTATTATTTTGGAAAAATGTTATATAACTACAGATTAACCAATATTTCTTTATAAACAATATTTTTAGTTTTTTCACCATAGGCATATATGTATAAGTTTTTTCTGAGCTTACACGGRAGCAGGCAATATAAAATTGTCTATGAGTGAAGCAGGGATCACTGATGTCAATTCCTGCAACTTTCATGGTCTGTCCTTGTACTTTATCAATTAACATGGCAAAACAAAGTTTGATAGGAAATTGGACACGTTTAAATTCGAAGGGATACTCGTTTTTTATCATTGGTATTCTTGGAATATATATAATTTGACCATTCGATGAGTCGGAAAGAATTTCAGCTAAAATAAGGTTATATTTCAAAGATAATATTTTTAATCTTGTTCCTTTGCACAATTTTAGAGCATTTAAATTTTTCATGAAAATAATAGGCGCACCAATTTTTAAATAAATTTTGTGTGTGGGGTGGGGGGTGGGCTTGATGGATTTAATGAGTTAAAAAAAAAAAAATGAAACCCGAGCATCATAAGCATAACCGTCGGCCGTCGGACACGTTGGGTRGTCAGCGAGAAGATCAAATTGTAGTGATAGTGGAAGCCTGGAATGCTTGCCATGTTGCCAATTCTACGTAACAGGCCATTATTTATAGTAATTGATTTATTAGAGAATCGATCAAATGCCATAAACTTTCTCCGCAATGAGCTCTTAAWTTTTTTAAAAAAATTATAACKATCAGTTCGGTAGTTTCCGAAAACATAGGCATCAAAGGTATTCATTTTCACATTTATATAATAGAAGATATATCTTACTTATCTACATACCATAAGTATACCTAACACAAGAAAATGTCTGTAATTTTTTTTTTTAAACCTACTTAATTTAATGATATTTTGTTTAGATTCTAATAACACTTACTTTGGTGCCTCAACGGCATTATCGAATGTGGCGTAGTTTGTTGCCAATGCTTCAGTGTACCGTTTATTTTTTATGCGCACATGATGGGTACTGGTATCAGTGCTCAGAGCTTCCAATGCAGCTCGCCAATTGTCAACTTTCATTCGATCACCCAAAATTTCAATGGAGTTCGTCTTAACACTAAATTTCACCCATGGAACCGGGCATGTTTTGTACTTACCGCAAATTGCAGTGTATACCAATCCAAATTGATGTTTCAACGAACATCCAAACGACTCCCTTGATCTGATAGTAGATAACGATGTTCTACGTTTTTCGCTAAGAGATGACAACATTCCAGAGGCATTGGATTTGGACGAATGATTAACCAACATGATTAACAACGGATATTATTATGATAATATAWGCTGGGAAAAATATAACTAAATTCTCAGACGAATAAATCCGAACATGTGTTATTTTGTTTTTAGAATAAGTTTTAATAGTGTTCACAAAAAATATAATAAGCGATTAAATATATTATTATTTTATAATATTATAATTTATGTGGACATGTTTATACTGAACAAAAAAAAAACATTTACGTGCTATGACAATTTAAAATACATTGAAAAAATATTGAATTTAAATTCCAAAATCAATCAAGCTTTTATTTTYACATCACAATATCGTATCTATGACAATGCAATATTATATAATTTACAGTGGGATCCATTTAAGTGTGTACACTTATTATCTCAAATAGTATAAACTTTTTTTTTAACCTTTAGGTTTATGTTTTTCTTAGAGGTTCCTCAAAGTATTTGTAGTTGAATGGGTAATCGGTAAAAATACCCGTGAAAATAATACCTGGAGAATAAGTAAAACCACCCCCCTCCAAAAAAAAAAAAAAATATTCAAAATAAATAAAAACTATTAACTGCTGAATATAATAATGGCGATGAAACCATAAATCACTATTGTTTATTTGCAGTAAGAAATATGATAAGATGGTCATAATATACTATATTTTTAAATCTTTTACATTGGTTGCACAATATTAGTACATTTCTTAAAATTGATTTAGATATTAATTTTACAAATTGGCGAATTATTATTATTTTATTATAACAAATTTTATTTTTTACAACTGTATTCAATTTWTATTATGGTATTAATAATTATTAACACTCGCTTATTGTTTTTAAGTTGCCAAATTAGTATTATATTATTATGATAAATATTATTTTGTGTAACTGTATTAAATTGTCTTAAATTTAATYAAAATAATATCAAATATGAATATATAAATTTTATTTTTATGTACCTATTCATATGTTTATAATTATAATAATTTTTTTTCAWYTATTTATGTCAGATGGATATTATTTCCTTGGATATTTATTCTATCAGGTATTGTGGCAAGTGTGGTTTAAATTTGATAGAGTACCTACCTACTTCTTGGAAAGCACAACATTTGTGCATACATTGTATAAGTACATTTTCCTAAAATGTATAAATAGAAAAGTAAATTGTTATGATTAATACATCAATTTTTACATACATTATTACATATTAACAGTTTTTATTTACATTTTATTTTCAGTTAAATCAGTTTTGTTTTTTCAGTTACACCATCAAATGTTATTCAATTTGATAACACAAAAGACGTTTTATTCTTAAAATAATTATAAGCTGACACTACAGCACAAAACTAATACAACATTATATATTATTCATTACCATCTACTCGGACACAAAAATATGACTGCCTATCTATTTATAGATATAACATTTCGAAAACTTATCGTATAGACTGACACAGAAAACAATATTAAATAATCAAGAATAACAATTTTAGTTATATTGTTGTGATATAAAAATGTTGTTTGTGAGTAATTTAAATTTCTAGATTATACTTTATATACTAATATTAATAATTAGAGTAGTTAATGAATTACTACTTTATAATCGTTTATACATACTATGAATTGAATGGCTGAGTAAATCGGGTGCATCATGAATCTGATTTGATTAATTCGGAATTTATTTTATATAGATATCTACATTTTTTATTTTTATATTTTTAAAAATAATAACAGTATAATTAATATGGTATAACATATTGTAAACTGACAAACCGTCTCCACTCAAAATCGCTTTTCGTATACAATAATATCATATCATTGAGTTCAAATTTAATATCATCCATTACAGCATCACACTTATAACTTACTATACAGGAGAGCAACATCCACTTAYCAGTTTTTTGTTTTAAATTGTATTCTAGTGCAGCATCTCTCAATGAAAATCTACRTTTCTAGAGTTGTATGCAATGTGAATTTAATAGAATTAAGAACCTCGTAAAATATAGAATCAGGCATGCAAGAAATTTCTCATTATTAAATTATTTTAATATTGTCTAACATTTTGTAGTCAGTTGATTGTATATATGTAAATGTTTGTTTATACACTGGTCATCTATGGCATTGAAAACTTTCACWTTGTTTTTAGTAGGACGAGAAGTTTGTCCCTATGTAGTTTAACCCATGTAAACTCAATGACGGTTGGTCAAGTTTTTAACGTTGGATTGTCATGAATACAAAATTCCATCTCATCGTTTGAACACGGACAGTGAATGCAGTGAATGTTAGCAAATCAGAAACTTTAGAGAGGTAAGCTTTTTCTGGATACTATAATACCAATGTTGAGCAACGTGATATTATATAAATCCAAGTTTATTCTTGAGGGAAATATACGGTGTTAAATGGAATGAAACAATTTCTGGTGCATACTGAAATATTTTTTTATGCATATAACAATCATATAAAAAGCGATACAAACATTATGTTTGGGACTCCATAAAAAAAAAATACACTTAAGTAAGTGGGTAATATTCTGCTGTGTAGAAAGTATCTTGTGTGTCAATTATTTAATTGATATATTATTAAATTTGAATTCAGTGATATAAGATCGTTGTATACAATAAACGAATCTGGTCAAAAACAGTCAAACGTACTGTAATGAATTTATATTGTTGGTCGTACAATTCAATTCATTAATCTTTGATTTTCAAATTCATAATACAAATATTAGGTTCATTCGTTTACAATGTGTTTAACATATATTTATACTCAAAGAGTTTACAGTGAAATTAGATATATTGGGTTTTACATAGAAGGGTGGGGAAGGTATGACATCAAACTCACGGTTGTCTTCGGTAGTTCTGGTTGAAACGGTTCCCGACGTTGCAACAAAGTGTGCTCTGTGGTACTTGGTGGCGTACGAATCTCGTCTTTCGACGTGTGTATAGTGGCTACACTCCTATGTACGGCTGTGGCTCCTATCAGGTGGTCCCACTGTCCCGATCCTCGGCGTGTCGATGTTGGTAGTGGCTCCTCGTGGGCAATCTCACTCGATCGATGGGCAAAGGTATGGCGACTATCTCTTATGAGATGTAGTGGTCGCTGGAATAAAATTAGTCTGTAGCAGGCTAATACAGTATCGAAATACGAGAGTGCGCCACTTACACGAGGCACTATGTTTTGTCTCGTTACAGTACTGTTTGTCTATAATATTATAATTATATCTTATGATACTATTGCTATTAATACGTACATAATTTTAAATTTAATATATTATACGATGCATACTCAATGATATTAACAATACATGCAGTACGAGTATATTTAAAAAAAAATTTTGGTAACTAGCTGTATTCATTACTTATAAAAAGCCTAGTTTTAAATGCTTAATTCATATTTAAATTTTTCTCCGGCTTTACAATCCATTGAGGATCTTTACCGCCAAAACTATCATCTCCAATTTCTCTCTATCATACGCTATAACTTTCCAATCCACCCCACTATAGGCTGTCGCATTCCATACCTATCTCTTTTATGCTGTTAATCAATCTTCTTCGTTGTCTTCTGCTTGGTCTCCTCCCTGCTAATGTCTAAGTTATTACTTCTTTTATTATCCGTCTGCTCGCCACACATGTATGACCCATTGAATTCTAATATTTTCAATACATTTTACAATATTTTTCTTTTTGTATAAGTTTTCTAACTGGGCATTCGATCTCAATTCCCATTGTTGTGTTCCGATATTAAATACTGGACCATGTATTCTTCTTAGGATTTTCCTTTCAAATTTTCATAATTTATCTTCATCACTTTTAGTTGTGGACTATGTGACGCATACATAAGTGTCAATACTGGTCTTGTGTAGCTTCTATGAAGTTTTTCTTTCACTTTTTTCGATAGCGTTCTTGGTTTAAAAAGGGTCTTCATTGCGAAATAACATCGGTTAGCTGCACTCAATCTCACGTTTATTTCTTCATGCATAATATTTTTATTGTTTAAAGGTACTCCAAGGAACTTAAATTCTTTAACTTGTTCGAATTCATTATTATCTATTTTAAGGTTAGATCTATTCTATAGTCCTCTTGTAATTACCATATATTCTGTCTTCACCATGTTTACTATACCAGCCTTCATTAATTTCTCCAGATTCTTTGAAATTCTGCTCAAGTATTTCCAGTGATTATCATATAATTTACGTATKCAATTATCAGTCCTCTATTAAGTGACTAGGCTTCTCCGTTTGATATTTCTCAGACCACATTTTCTAATGCCATGTTAAAAAAGTATAGGTGACATGACATCTCCTTGTCGTAGTCCACTTTTAATTTMATTATTCATAAACAGTTCATTCCCAAATTTTACTCTACTATACCATAGATTAAACATACACTAGATAGCCCACTGCCGTACACAATATGGAAACACGCCAATTAGTAAAGTATGGTGACAATAGATAGCACCAGCGATTTCAAGGTAAAAAAATCTATATGAAATATAGATCTGCATAATCTGTATTAAATACACAAATGTTGTGTATAGCCATGAATGGCGYGTGTAGCGCCACCGACTATCGTTGTTTAGATAAAAATAAACAATAATAWGAAATAATATTTATATTAAGCAAGTAACTAGCAAGCTTCTAATAAATTTAGCTTTAGATTCTGCTATACTATTGTTGCATGTAAGCGTGTCATTGTGATCACTTTTGATTTTATTAGTTTTGTCTGCATTGTATACTTACTTTTTACGTATTTTCATAATACCTACCATACTATATTCGATAATGACAGTTGCACACAGAAATAGATGTTGCTTTTTTAACTGTGGGAAAAGTCTTCCAGATCATCCCAATTTAAAACCAATTTAATAGCGTTTTACTGAAAATGTCAATAGATAAAGACAATGGACCCGTAAATCAGGTACTAGCATAGTCCTATACACTTAGGTACAGGGCCTAAAATTGTGTGCACTACGAGCCTATGGCCTATGTGTGTCTACGACACAATTTGTGTGATGCAAAATATGAAGTGTGTACTACGGTCTACTATATTTGAAAGTGTGTAGCAAACTAGCAAATAATACCTATTGGTTTTTTTATGATTCTGAAAATCGTTCTTCCACTGGAATCCGTCATTATATTGGTCGTTATTCATACCTTAACATAGTTAATATTCATTATAAAGTTTTTAATTTAAAACAAAAAAATGTTTTAAATTAATTAATTAGGTGGCTTGATAAAAAAATATGTGTTTTAATTGCATTATTAAATGGAATCACAAAAACAATCTTTTAGGTTTAATGGTTTATATATTTGGCTTGATGATGAAAATTAATTTTCAAAAGGGTTTTCATTATCTGTGTACTTACCTACACCAGTAGCTATAAATATTTWATCAAAATATAGTATGTGGTACACCAAATTGAAAATTGTTGGCCCTGTGAACTACCTAGTTAATAGTTCTATGGGAATTAGTCATCAAAATATGGATTATAATTAATTATAATTAGGGCTCTGATATTATGCTACAGAAAATGCTATAAATATATTAATCAGCTATTATTTTAGATTCTGATCTAATATGAATGAAAAGATGAATACATTATTATTTTTTTTATATTTATAAGGGTTATAAAAATGAGTAAGTAGATGTTGGACATATCATTGTAAAATCAATACATTCATTGTTTTGTTCAGAACCTAAAAAAAAAAAAATTATTTTAAAATTTACTTGTCCATTCAATTGTATGCACAATTTAATTTTATATAAACAACATGTTTGTAAAGACCATTTTTTAGCAAGTGACTTTTTGAATAACGCACAATAGCCACAATATAATTTAAAGCAGTTTACTATACCCCAGCCATATTATGGAGAAGATGAAGATGACATACATATTATTCCACCTATACATACTTATACACATAACAAACCTGGACAAACAGTTACAGAATTKTTATCTCCTAAATCTTTTACATCAAAATGTATTTCAAATTTTCATACTCCTCTTAAATCTAACCAAGTATTTAAACTATCATCACAATCGTCTGAAACCAAATAATTTATATACAAAGTAATTTTATTTCTCACACCAACGAAACAAAAACAAWCTGAAGAAGTCAATAATGAAATAATAGATACTCCCCAAAAAAAAGTTAAAGTCTACAATTCAAAATTAAAGAAAAATTATTAAAAACAAAAGATCTAAAATGTGCAAGCCTCGTAGTAATTTAAAATCATACCGTCAATAACTTAATGCCCATAAACATTTATCGAATAAGATTAAATACTGTAGCAAAGGTTCAAAAGTTTTAACACAAATGCAACTTTATCATGATCAACGAAAATGTTGGACTCAGGTAGAAAAAAAACTTTTCAATTGGGCTTTTTATAAGTCTCCAGCAACTTATAAATACCTGAGAAACTAACAAAATATAATTTTACCAGGAGTATCAGCAATTAAAAAATGGATAGGAAACTATGACAGATGAAGAAAAATACTTTATAGTTGTATTTGATGAAATTAGCATAAAAAAATACTTGGGATATTCAAAATATTTGGATATTGTAGAAGGGTTTGAAGATTTGGGGCATAAAGGCAGAACTAATCAAATAGAATCGTTAGCTATGGTTTTCGTTGCTCAAGGCCTATATAGTACATGGAAAATGCCAATTACATAGGTACTATTTAAGTGCGTCATAAATGGAACACGATATTCTGACGGAAATTATAATTGATGTGGTTGAAAAGTTACTCAGCATTGGTTTATCAGTCACTGCTATATTGTATGTATGTGACCAAGGCACAAATAATGTTGCAGCTTTAAAGAAATTAGGAATAACCCTGCTTTAATATGGGTACAAATAAATTTTTTTTCTATATTTGATGTGCCTCATATTATAAAAAATTTCCGTAACAATTTTATAAAAGATTTTATTTACAAAGGCTAGTTAATAACATTCAATGACATAAGAAAAACTTGTGACATTGATAAATCTGAAAAATATAACAAATATATAAGTGAAGTTTTAAATGCTAAAGCAAAAAAAAATAAACAGCGAAGTGATTACAGGCGATTAAATCGATTTTACGTTATGGATATTATGGATAATCATAAACTAATCGTCCCGTTAAAAGCAGGTGAAACTAAAATTATTTAATATGTAAATAACGAAGAACTATACGACATTATGTACGAAGCTCATATAAAAATTGGTCATGGAGGGCGAACCAGAATGATGAACGAATTGCAGAACAAATTCAAAAATATAACATATGAAGTTGTTATGTTATTTTTAAGTTTATGTGTTCAATGCCAAACCAAAAAAAAAGTTCCGAAAAAAGGTATTGTAATCATAATATAAGTCGTATATAATAAGTCGTGTATAATAAGTCGTGAACTTAATTCCCGGTGTCAAGTAGACTTGGTAGATATGCAAACTTGCAAAGATGGTGAATTTAAATTTGTATTAAATTATCAGGATCACCTAACCAAATTTATTCAATTAAGACCTCTAAAATCTAAAACTGCAGAAGAAGTTGCACATCACTTATTAAATATATTTCTTATTTTCGGAGCGCCAAATATTTTACATTCCGACAATGGACGAGAGTTCGTAAATAAAGTTATATCAGAGCTGTGTTCAATGTGGGATGGTGTGAAAATTGTGCATGGTAAACCACGTCACAGCCAAACWCAAGRATTCATYGAAAGGGCAAACCAAGATTTCCAAAATATACTGAGAGCTATGATGGAAGATAATGAAATATAAAATTGTCAGAAGCATTACCATTTGTCCAATTTGCAAAAAATACGACGTATGATCGAGGTATTAAGCAAACGCCATACGAAGCTATGTTTGGCACTAAAGCACAAAGAGGTMTTTTTACATCTTCTCTTCCACGAGAACAAATAGAAAAACTAGCAACAGAAGAGGAGTTAGAACAAATAATTCAGTCTATAAGTAAGTATAAATTATAAAATTAAATTAAAYATATTAATATGMAGTGAYACCTTATATGCATAAAGTGTGATCGATATATAGTGACTAAATAAGAATTTTTTTTGACAGCCCCTCAAACTGACCAAGAAAATAAAGGAAGTCGTGAAAATGAAGTAGAGGAAGAGTCTGACGGTAAAAGCGACGATAATCTTGACAATCAAGCAAATAATGATGTAGATAAGCTCAGCGATAAAAGTGATGACAAAAACCAAAATGAATTATTAAGTATGTAATTCAAAACAATAATACCTATTACAAAAACAATTCAAACAAATATTTTGTATTTAAAAGACATAAATGAAGGAGAATACAAATAGAGCTTTGGCACTAAATGGACTTCAAACACAAGCAAGTGTAATGCTGCGATCGTCGAACCAAAAATTTCCGCCTGCTCATGTGGGTGATACTGTTCGAGTGGGTGTTCTAGATATSGACCGAGGACGTATGGATTAYCAAAATATCTTGGCTGTTGTAATGGACGTTGATAATGACTTTACAAATTAGAAACAAAATATGGGATTATCAGTCAGCTGTACACTCGAAATCAATTTGCAGTGTGCAAAGAAAAATTGATATCGTTAAACGACATTTTATCCGATAAGACAATGTCTTTGAGACAGGTATCGACAGCTGCTTCCAAAAGTGGTGGCCAAGGTTATATACGATGCAATTGTAAAAAAAAAAATGTAATTATAAGAATGGGAGAATACTTTGTAACAGTAAATGCCACGATAGTTTACCATGTTGTAATAAATAAAACTTAATAAAGCATAGCTACCTAAACTTAAATATTAAAAAATTAATTTGTTCACTATATTTATGTATGAATTTATTAGTTATCTATTTTATTATATAATATGTTKTCGTTGTCACACATGTCAACATTCACTAAATAACTATTGCGCATGTCAAAAAATACTGGTAAATCCGCATTGTGTGATATTTGAAATAATTGATAACATTCACCAAAATGATTAGTGATTGTGACATACGCCGGTGACTGTCAACATTTACTGCCATACGGTCATACACCTTAACATATATATATATATACATATATATATTATATATATATATATATATATATGACAAGTTCCCGATTAAATTATATTTAAAGACGATTTTTTATTATTATTACATATTATTACTATACATTGTATAATAATAAAAAGATTTTTATAAATATTGTATAGTATTAATGTCGGTATTTTGTTTGTCGGTCGAATGGTTGCCGGTCGATTGACCCAGAACCCTCTTAAAGAGTTCTCTTGGATTGTATTTATACCTTTCAATCTTTTCAATCCTTGCTTTTTCTGGCATTCTTTTCTCTTTTATTCTTAGTTTTGTCACTTCTTCCCTTTTAATCTCAAATTTTYTTATGTTTTCAGGTGTAAGTATCTGAATTGCTTTAATCTTAGCATTGTTACGTTCCTGAATTCCTTTTTCACAACGTTCATTGAACCATTTATTTCTTTTTGGCCTTTGTGTGAATTGCACTAATAAGCAACTAATAAGTCTAAGAAGCATTAAATATAACATCAGTTTGAAAAACTCGATCTGTTAAGCAAAGTTGGAGATTATATATGACGATGACATGTGATGGGAAAGTCTTATGTGTCAATTAACTTAAATTAAATGAAAATGTTGATATTTTGTAGTAATTCAAAAATAAATAACCATAAGTATATGCAATTTTCATATGATTATTTTATTTTATAATTCTTTATTAATATTTTAAAATATTTTTGTCTTTTTGATCTATTTATAAAAAAAAAAAACTATGTTTTGCTTACTCAAACAGCTTTAAAATGAAAAAAATACAAAAAAATAAAATAAAATACCTAAATATTTTTGTTTTTAAATTTGAAACTTTAATATATATATTTAAAATTGTATATGAATTCATCATGTTTTTTTAAAAGTTGATATACTATGTGTAACAAAACTCAACTCTTCTTTTGTTGTTTGTTAACTTGTTTTATTATTATTTTATAATATTACAATAAATCATTTAACCCGTGAGGGTTGTACAGATAGATATAAAATTAGGGGATTACAAAGATTAGGGGTTTCAAGATGTACAAGATTTGTTCTATATTTTAGTATTTTTTTTTACTCACGGTCGCTGCTGGTACCTTCTTCACGGTCTTGATCACTGGGTAGTTGTCCGTTTCACTGTCCCGATCAATGACGGGTTGGCTGATGCACTGTTCTGATCATTGGCTGGTTGGCTGATTTACTGTCCTGATCCTTGGTGGGTTGGCTGATTCACTGTCCTGATCWTTGGCTGGTTGGTTGATGCACTGTCCCGATCATTGGTGGGTTGGATAGTGCACTGTCCTGATCTTTGGCTGGTTGGCTGATGCACTGTCCTGATCCTTGGTGGGTTGGCTGATTCACTGTCCTGATCTTTGGCTGGTTGGCTGATGCACTGTCCTGATCATTGGTGGGTTGGCTGATGCACTGTCCTGATCCTTAGTAAGTTGGCTGATTCACTGTCCTGATCTTTGGCTGGTTGGTTGATGCACTGTCCTGATCATTGGTGGGTTGGCTGATGCACTGTCCTGATCACTGGTTTTGCTGGTTGTTTGTTTCACTGTCTCGATCACTGGTGGATGTTGTATAAGTCACCTGAAAGAGAAAGAATAGTTGTTTCTATGGCAACCGGTTATATAATAATTCCGTCTAGAGTATACTTTAAGATGCGGATATAACGGTTGTCGTTGGTTACGTTCAACAGTGTAGGTTTCCTACTAAGAGTAAACCCATTAGTAGGTACACTGTTCGTCGTAACTCGAGGAAGTGATGGCAGTGTTAGTAATAGCGTTCGATATTGCCGTATGATGGTCTCTAAGTACCGTCCGGTATATATGTACTTGTACTACGGGAGCCGGGACGATGTCGCTCGTTGCGGCAGTGGCTCATGGTTATATGCTATCCGCCGGTCTCCCGTTCCTCGTATCTGGCGGTTTTGCCCCTTCATTTTTTCTTTATAATATGTGATTGGATAATACTTGATCGTTATAATTCGTTCTATACTCTTTCCGGGGTTCTTTAATCTTTATAAGAATAGTTTTGGTTGAGTTGTTACGTCAGTAACTTGATTTATCGAACACTTTTTTAGTACCGTTCTAAACCAGACGACCGGTGGTGCGCGCYCTAAAGCCCGTTCTTGAATTTATACCTCGGCCGCATCGCATCTTTAGACAAGTAAACAGYACAAGAGTRCGACACTCCTTGTAGCCGAGGGTTTGTACCGTTACATTTGGTCTAATAAGTATGGTTAGCATTTTATATTGATGTATATTATAATAATTAACGTAAATTATTGGTTAGGTTAACACAACATAAATAACTTAATTAAATAATATTATTAATATTAATACCTAACTTTACTATAATATTATTAACTGTAGTTAACAGTAGTAATAGTAATRAGAACATAATATTTATTTATTTCCTACACAAACATACACACACATTTCGGCTGCCAATCATATCGATCAGTATACCTAATATTTACACGTTATTATAATATTTCATGATCATGGAGCATAATTTTTCAAACGAAATGCTGGACTCTAAATCTAACTAGACAATGACAAACTTAGACGGGTTGCGTTCATAAGTAAATATTTAATTCTTGCTCGGGCACTCGTTCACAGACATGTTTAATTATACACTCTCCCGGACGCTGTTCATCAGATGAATAGCATACTGATGGCAGTCGAGTACATAATTATTATCGCGTTGATGAAAATTCACTGTCATAGTACCATTGTTGATTGGTGACACCATGGAACACTCTTAATTAATACGACTGTTAGAGACCTACTGTTTGACTGCTTGTACCTACTCAAATCATCAACCAAAATTGTTGTATTTATTATATTTTGAATGGTATCATTAGGCCCCCTTTATCAAATTTTAAGTCCCTCTACTAAATGTTTTTACATTTCTATAAAATATTAGGTATTTAATACAATATAGTAAGTATCCATAGGCGTGCGCACGAGGGGGGCAGGGTGGGCAGCTGCCCCTCCTGCGGACTACTTTTTTTCTCCCAAAAATAGTTTTAAAAAAAAAACATTATAATATAATTTTATATTACAATGAGTCAACGAATAATTTATATATTGTAAATATTGAGTATACGGTGCACGATAATTTTGTCTTGTCAATGGTCCAACTTTGTTCAAGCCACAAGCGATACCGCGTTGATAGATACGCGGCAATAATACTAATAACCAAAATAATATTCAATTATATATTATTATATACTATATATTATAATACTACTGTATATAATATTAATATATACATTCTGCTTCTGCCTCCTACTGTCAGCAAGTTCTGCGCACGCCTATGTAGGTAAGTATCCCTATCAAAATTACAAAATTACTATTTGATTTCAACAAGACCCTAAACAAGCTGTGCCTCTGTATTTAAGTAAAACAGTCCCTCTCCTGGGGTCTTAAGCATCATAATGATACTAACAAAATATCAAGTCTTCTATTCCCATGCTATTGGGAACTGTCAAAATAAAGCATGTATTATACAATTTACTTTAAATAATAAATTATAATAGGTATATATAAATATTTTTATTTTAAAAGTGTTTGATAATAGGTAATAGTGTATTATTATTTATATTTATGATTATAGGTTAAAATCCATCCATCGCATAATATTATTGAAAATGATAAGCATGTTTAAATTGTGCTCGAAATAGAACATTCTAGACTATACAATTAACGAAGGGCTATTAT